TTGATGAAACTTTGCCCGTTATTACAACTTGACACCAGAAACATATATCAAATAAAGTTTCGTTGCTATGTGTCTTGGTTGCCATGGTAACAACCAAAAAAGTTGAAAAAATTGAGATTTTCAGCTACTTTGAATCTTTATTAAGCCCTAATAAAGAATAAGAATAACAAACAAACCATTTCCCCCAAAACCTGACACCTTGTTGCCACTTATGCAATAAAGAAACTATTTAGAATTTATCTCTAAGTAAGTGGTAACCATGGGTAATTTGGAATACATTTTACATGCTGAAAAATGCAGAAAAACGCTCAATATTCACTGATGATAGGTGTTAAATGATCAAACTCAATCAACAACCTAAGAAAAAACAATAAAAATATTTGACCTTAAGTAATTAGATATTAGCAATATTATTCTAAAAATAACTTTCATGGTTGCCATGGTAACACAGTGTTACCATCCAAAATGTGTTGCTAAGATTGGGTTAATGCTACTATCTTCAGGAAAAACAATAAATTTCATGACTGGCACATATATATCCTTAGGACCTTGCAACACCGACAACATAAGAAAATTGGGATTAATAGTTACTTTGCAGTGTAACCATGGAAACAATGTACCAGTTGTTTAAAGTGATATTTTTTTGGCTGCCTTAGGAATTTACTTACCTTTTATTCAAGAAACATATTATTTGACTCACCTTGAATAGTACTTATCTGGTAAAACTAAAGTTGAATATCATATATTGATAACGTTTGTTGAAAAATACAACACTGTTGCTATGGTAACCAAGAAGGGAAAATGTTCGATTTTGTTAATTTTATATCAATATTAAACCCTATGTGCCAGCTTTTTGCATCCAGTTAGAGATTGGGTGGCAGACAAAATTGAAAGTCAGGTTAGTTGTTCATAATTACCAATCATAAAAGTTTTGGGAATCTACATACAAGGGTATGTATCCAAGGAAACAGAATATTTTTCAGATTTTTATGCATATATTTTCGGCTTATTTCCATAGCAACGCTCTATTTAAAGAATTGAATTTGCATTTTTTGAAATGTGAGAATTAGGGTCACATGAACATCTTTAAAAATTGATCATTAGTTATATAGAAATATGCTTTTTAAAAAGATAGGATTAGATTTAATCACTAAGAGAGTAAATTTAAAATCCCTTCTTGGTATTAAAACCATGGCAACCATTGCGAACCTATAAGAAATATCATATTTCTTCCATGGTATATGTTACAAGGATCTTTTGTCTATTATTTGCTTGTATTTCAACCTATATTTTTTTTTACTCTTAAGTGTATGATGTTATAAAATTAAATGAGCAAAATTATTACTTTTGAAGACTTTGTTTCCATAGTAACGTATGTAATAGTTGAATTACCAAACATGTTTATCATGCATTTAAAACATCAGGCCTTCAACTTTCAGAAACAATCATTACCACTTGTTTGCTTTGCTGCAAACGTTAATTGTGGGACTCTGGACATGATGAAAAATGCCATTTTACAAACTTTAGGACATGTTGCCATGGTAACCATGTCACGTAGCAACCAATTTCTGCCTGATTTGAGTTTACGGTATCAAAGACTTTTATCATAGAGAGTTTGGAGAAATTCTGAGACTATGCGTGCCACAGCTTCTATATAAAAGTTCAAGTCGTTACAGAGAATGGCTCTTTAAAAAACTTATATATTCAAATTCTAACAAAAGATTTTTTTTAAGAAAAAGTGAGCCCCCCTCCCCCACATACTACGGGACATTTTGAACCTTTCTCTTCATTGATTAAAATATTCCCATAATATAAGGAGATAAATATTTGTCCTTTACAAACATTTTGATATTTCTTAGGCAAAATTTGTACATGACAATTAATTGTCATGTACAAATTTTGCATAAGAAATATTTTGTAAAGGATAATATTCTCTTATGGATACTCCCTTTCATGACTTTTTATGCATACTTTTTAAAGTTAGTTACTGTAGAAGATGGTCCAAAAATGGCATAGCCGTACGTTCGTTCGCTGGAATCTTCCGATGATATCAAAGTGAAATATTTCATGTTACATGTGGGTGGTCGAGGCCCGGGACCGGTATTGTGAAGGTACACGGAGGAAGCAATAAGCAAAACTCTATCTAGAGTGCAGAAAGGGCAGAGATTGAAGTACTTCATATTTTATTGAAAATACTAGATGTAATATATATATATATATATATATATATATATATATATATATATATATATATATATATATATATATATATATATATATATTACAGAATATTCATTCTCTCTCTCTTCCTCTTTCTGCAAAAATAAAGGGGGTTCCAACACACGAACCCCCCTCCCTGGATACGCCAGTGGAGATTACGATACCTGCACGCTTAAGCCTCTTTTAATTCTGTTGTTAATTTTAAAGGCTAAATTACAATTGTGATAGATACCTAGATCAACATTTCATATTCATATCATTTCAAGGTCATGATCTTTCTTATCATTACAGCCTAATTAAGCAGACTTAAATAACGATGAAAATTAGAAAAAAAGATTAAACTTAATTACACCTTTGTAAACTCACTAAATCTAGAAATTTTCTTTGAATTTCGTTTCGAAACATATGCATATGGTCCATGTATTGCAGTCCTTTTTTAAAGGACAGCAACTTGTATGTATTCTTTTTCCCTTTGTTTTGCACCGTCTTTCTAATCTCGGCAGCACTCGGCCGATTCGCACCTCATAGATCTACATATCACAAAGGTGACGGAATCAGCCGAGGTTTGCCAAATGGTCTCGGCAGCAGAGTCGAAGTTTTAGGATTAAGGAGACAGGCGAGCATTTGTTAACCTTTCAATTGGTACGGCTTATGTAAAAAAAAAACTAATGAAGAAATACAAAGCCAAGAAATTTTCGAGAATTTACGGCCTGATAGGTTTAGGTCTGTTTATTGTTTAAGGTTGTTGCTAAAGACGGTAAGCTTTTTGAAAAAAAAGCTCTACTTGTGTTATGAACTTTTAAGTACGTGTAAATGGAGCATTCTCTATCCAGAGTTGTCTTCCGCTACACTTGTCGGAGCGTAGCGGGAACGATAACTCTGGATAGAGAATGGTAAATAGAATTTACAACAATGGACAAAATAATATACAGCCTTTAACCTTCATACAGCAAATTCAAAAATTACATATTAACATGGAGTGGCTTAGTATATTCAACATATTTTTCACTTTAAGGTCATCCGCTTTTGCGAAAGCGCGGAAACGTTAAATCTTGTTCGTCTCCCCCATCAGTCCGTCTGTCACAAAAAAAAAAACAAAAACAAAAAACAACCCCCCCCCCCAAAAAAAAAAAGCAAACAAACAAAACCAAAAAAAAAAAAATAAAACCAACATCAACACACACACACACAAAAAAAAAACAACAACAAAAAAACAAAACCATCAACACTGGTCATGTCTTTTGAATGAAAGAAAATACGACTTCCCTATTTCACATGTTTATTACCTGTGTAACGACCTTTCAGAATGTTCTATGATTTTTGGATCTCATATGGCCTTGAAGTTTGACCTACTTTTCATAAAATTTCAACCTAGGCCGTAGCTTTAGTACCTGAATTGACAGATTTGTCATATTTTTGCATGTGCATTACCCATGAAAAGATATTTCCAAAGGCACTATGATTTTTTTTTTCACCTTAGGACCTTGTAGTTTGACCTACTTTTCAAAATTTTAACTTTGGCTGTACCATCTGCACCAAAAGAGACAGGGGTTAAATAATATCAAATATCATACTCCATACGGTGTAACCTACGAATAATGCCACTGCCACAGGCTTTTGAAACTTTATCCTAAATCAGGATAAATGGCTTGAGCGAGTCATTCGGTTTTCTAAGATTTCAAACTGAATGTTACTGAGTAGTTTGTTAATCAACGCTTGGAATGTTATCATCGCTTATATGCTTTTTGATGAAGATTAGTGACTTTTTTTTTTTTACTTTTTCTCAATGCGATTCAGTCCGGATTAAGTTTTGAGCGTTGTTTAAACCAAGTTGCAATGGCGGTATCCATGCATCGTTGGAAACGGAGTGAAGTTTTACTCTTTCATGGTTATAATCCAGCACATTTCAAATGATTTTGAAAAAAAAAAAATGACAGGAGTTACATAAAATTTTATTTGTGCATTACCTCTGAAAAGACCTGAATGAATGTATTATGATTTTTGACTTCATGACCTTGACTAAAACTTTAATCTTCGTTGTAACTTTTGCACCTGTACATATTATTTCCCTATAATTTATAAACTTATAACTTCTTTTAGCAAGAAGAATACATAAAAGATATAATATTCATTGCAACCAACCAAAATGAGGACCATAATTCTCGAAATTTAGTCTCAATGCTCTCCTGTTCACCAAATATATCAAACATATGACTGGGTAACCTCTTAACCCAATCTGATCCAAATGACCTTGATAGTCATGGCCGTAGGAACCGGGGGGGGGGGCTCCCCCAATAATTTTAGTGCCCCTAACTGAAAATGTATGGCTGTGCCCCCCCCCCCCCCCCAACTGAAATAGCTTCCTACGGGCCTGAATCTAATAAATGAAAACACACTTTTCATTCCATGAACTTATTACTCTAATTTGATCAGAGTACTAGTATTCCAACACTGTTACGATTTCACAGAGAATTTTGACACGAGGTATTTAGGTGAACACGGCAATGTTCTTCATTATGCACTTAAGATTGCACTTAGATTTGTTCCTCTTTGAAAGCGAGAAAAATGTGAGGTCGACACGTGGTAACAAGGAAAAACAGTTAACAATCGGCCAGTATATTACAGTACGGTCTTTCACAAGACAATTATGCAAAATGCAAAAAGGAAAGAGAGCAGACATAATATGTTTCTTATCAAGCACTTTATTTCTTTTTCTCCCTCTTCATAAAACTTTGCGAGATAGTTATCATCGCCATTCTGATTGATGGGTTCGTTGCCATAGCAATATACTTATCTATTTTTGCCGAACGTCGAATCATCTTTTGAGTTCTTTCACTGATAAATTTTTCCCTGGATCTGTTTCAAACATACACTCATACGCTGCCCAGTTTTCGGGCAGGAAAGCTATCATGGAAATTATTTGGCTTCAACGTCCACATGACGGCATCCCCTGGGGATTTCGCCTGCAAGGGGGACGGGAATTTGGGCAGCCGCTTGCCGTGCAGAGGGTATGTATTTTTTTCCCCAGTATAGATATGATGTTCGCATCGCTCCTTTAAATTCTTCATCTTAACAGAAAAATCATATTTTTCTTTATTTTTGGAAATATATAATTTTCATGTAAAATGATTTATGTCTTCTTTTTTTTTTTTAATTTTTAAATTTTTTAATCTCAGTGGCCTTTCTACAAAAACGATTATATATATATATATATATATATATATATATATATATATATATATATATATATATATATATATATATATATATATATATACTCAATTTTCATTACTTCAAATGTTTTACATCTATTCTGTGTGCTGTATGTGATTCACAAAACAAGATTATAAATCCGAAATACCAGTCTGTGTATATGATTCACAGCGAAAATATTTCTGCAGCGTCTCCGATTAAACAGAGATCGTGTGGAGCTTGATTCTGACATGTTCAGAAGCCTTCTCCATGTGGCGTTTGTATTTTTTCCTTATCTCATATGCTACAATGACGTAATTCTTTTAATGTATCAGTTCACGTATAGTGTAAGTCTGGAACACATGCATTTCTTGGCTCTTGGAGATAACATTAGGTGTATTAGGCGTGTCTTCTTAAAAAATCGCATTCAATCCCCTTTATATTACCTGTATTTTAAAACTTGCACACGACCTTTCCTAAGTTCTGATTGCTTTGATTATTATTATTCAATATGTACATGTAAAAACTGAAGAATGTCAAAGCGAACAAACCCTATTGAAAGGTATCATTTTGTCAATTTCCTTTAAAATGGAATATTTACATTGAGCTATATTACGGAAAGAGGAGACGTGCTCATGCATGCAGTTAGCTTTGCCATGTCGTAAAAAACATTATCCAAGCTAGAGAGGAAACAATAAAATAAATATAACACATCGAAATTTACTGAAAATGGTCATTACCCTTTTTAACAGTATTTTTCAGCAGATTACATTTACTTAACTGATCAGGCCTAAAAATATTCAAAAATCTATGCTATGTAGGTCCTCTTAGTCTGAGCACCCTTTTAATTTTCTAATTTGCGTTAAATTTTTGTGAAATATAAATGATTATCACTCCCATTTTGATTATATGATTGCATCGCTATAGTAGATTAAACACTGAAATTAAAATGGAAGAATACCGTTTATTAGGAAAAAAGTTACCATTCTTTAGAAATTGAAAATGGTAGACACAAAAATATTCCAAAAGATCTCAGACTCTGCAAAAATTGTAATAAATTGGATGATAAATACCACTTCTTTGACTATCAACAAAACCTTTTTCTCAGAAATCAACTGTTCTCTAAATTCAATAATATAAACACTAGATTTCAAGAAGACAAGCCACTCAGTAAAATGCAACAAATTCCAAAATCTGAACTTTTGTCAGCAGTTGGAGACTTAATAAAGCAGTCATTAGAACTGCGAAAATGAGGTTCATGTCAGTCAAAGGTTTTAACACTGCACTATAAAGCCATTCTTAAATGTATTTTGTAACTGTTCGTCAAGTATGTCATTTGCTTGTTAATGTATAGCTGTCTCTGATTAAGATTCAATGATTATATAGAACCAGGATCGTATACATACGTATATAGACGTCCCTGACAGATCACGCGTTGCAAGTGAGTATATGACTGACCTCTCCATAACAAACATATTGGAGTCGACCTCTCCAAGTCAAAGGTACTTGGAACACCTGAGTGCATATCCGCTGAATAATTTAAAATCAGTGTATAAGAGCGTACATGTAATTACCATTAAAGAGGTGTTTGAATACTTCAAAACTTTTCAAGTGCCGAACTGCACTCCAAAGTATTGCAGTATTGCAGAGAAACCTCATTTCACATGTATTTAGGACTGAGTCTCTTTTTCATGAATAAACAATAAGAACGAACTCCTTTTATTAACTTAAAGTGGTAGTCACCGGACCATATCAATGTAGGTGATATGTTTTAATGATTTAATATGATAAAATTCGGACAGGAGAATCTCATGATAAAAGACATATAAATATCCTTCATACTCATTCACTTAGACCTAAACAAACATACAATCCTGTAATATCCAACTCGACATAGATAACAGTTCTATAACAGTCATATACATGTAGACATTTTTACATTTTCTCTAAGAAAATATGATTTACGCTTTGACAATTTTAGGGGGCGCGCGCCGGGTGCACCCCCCTTAAATCCGCAACAGATATTTGTCATATAATTCATGATTTTTGTAGGCACAGACACTCATCCTGTATTACACACCTTGTATTCATGTATTAGCACCATTTATGACACCCATTATTGCAAATTTCCGAAACATCTTTGTATATCTTTAGCATTCCCGATCCGAACCCTTTTCTATTGTTAACAATGTTAATCTAAACTGCAATTTTATATATTTACATTTGCTGTGTTTTTCTACTAAGCCAACTGTGAAATTGATTTGAAATCATTTTTGTATAATTTAATTTTGTTTGTATTCTAGCCTCTGATTGGTTAATATCCAAAAAGGAACACAAATTATTTCTGTATAACCTGGTTTGGTATGGGGACCCACCCCCCTGACAACCAGCTGATTCATCTGTATCCATACAATCCTCTCATTTCCAGTCCTCGGGATTCATGGAAAATTCCAGATTTAATAAATGTACCTTTAACTTAACAATAATTCGATCTTACCACGTGTAAACAAACAACAAGGCTGCCGCTAGGCCTATGCATCAGTTTTTACCTCCCCTCGCTTCCCATCACTTCCGTTACTTCCGTTACTACGGTTGTATTACTGAGCGGCAAATTTGAACTAATAAAAAGCAACGAAATTTTACACTCTTAGTTATTTAATGATTTTAAAATTAGATTATAAGGAATGACTCTAATTCTTGGCCAAATTATTCGAGTATAACCTGGTTTGGGTCAGTTTACGCTGTTTTATAATCCGCTTCGCGGATTATAAAGCGTAAACTGACCCAAACCAGGTTATACTCGAATAATCTGGCCAAGAATTAGAGTCATTCCTAAAATATATACACGGTGAAACTCGAGCAAAAGTGACGTCACAATGAGGCTACAGAGACGTTAATAAAAATGTAACGATATAGGGCAGCAAGAAATTCAAATATTGAGTATATTATTGGTGCTTTTAAGCTTGTAAAATGTAAATATAAGGAATGTTTTTAAGTCTAGCGTGAATTATTGGTGTGTAAATCACACAGACTTGCACGTAGCTATATTTTTCATGAAGCGCTAGCGCGCTTCATGAAATATGCCTACGTGACAAGTCTTTGTGATTTACACCCCAATAACTCACACAAAACTTAAAAACATTCCTTAATTAAATAGATATTTTTATCATTTAGAATAAATATTTTCTTTAATTTATAATTATCTGAATTTTGATTGCTAAATGTATTGCTTTTGGACAAAATGACGGAAATTCAAGAGAAGAACTCAATAATGACATTATATGATTATATGTGCACTTACATGTAATATATAAGTACAAGTATATATGAGTTCTGAATACTATTTTCAAATATATATAATAAAAACAATGCATGACAAAAATCTGTATCACAACCCATATCAACTCTCGGCCAATATCAGCCTTCTGGTTGATATGGGCTGTGATATAGATTTTACTATGTATTTCTCTCTCTCTCTCTCTCTCTCTATATATATATATATATATAGAAGAACGAATTTTTAAAGTTGTTCATAAACTGATAGAATGGGTTAAAAACTGGCTGTAAATATTTTATGTCAAGTATAATAAAGGAATTTGAGAAAAAATAGGCAAAAGGAAATAGGTCAATGTATCCGTCCTATGTAAGGTTTGTTTGAAATGTCAATTCAAAGAGCCCCATCACTAACCTAGTAAGACAAACTATGGGCAATACGTTTTTTAACTTGAAAAATTATCTATCGCATCAGAGGGTGGCCCCCTCTTATAAGAACCCACCAATAACAGTTTTCTCTGTACATGTACCCGGTAATTGGTTTGTGTTCATTTCCTACGTGCTCTCTCTACAGGTGGTGCCCGGAAGTGTTGCGGACGGCTCCCTCTCATCTGGTGACCTAATTTTAAAAATCGGAAACCATAATGTAACTAATGCATACCACTCCGAGGGTCAGGATCATATTAAAAATGCCGGAAATACACTGCAACTGACAATCAAAAAGTAAGTTCAGTGGTTTTAATAAACACAAAATTCTGAAGAAAATGCAGTATTATTGTTCTCGAAATGTAAAAAACGAAACCTTTTTTTGAGACCCACTACATTAGCAACAAATTCATAACTTTCATTTTGGATGGACATTCCAAAATGAACATAGTGTAACGAAACCTTTTTCCAGGCATACAAACTTATGATTTAAAAGAATGAGAAAAACGAACTGTCATATTAAATCATCTCCGCTCTCATTTATATTAAATTTATATCAATGGGGGCAGACTTAGTTTGATGCAACTAAGAAAGACTATAACACCAGGAATTTCATACGACTTGGCAGTGGAATACTTATACACGCTACTTCTTGTGTCAATTAAGAATAATGTGCATACATGTCTGTGTAAGCACTCAGAATAGCTTATACTGTTATATTGTTACTATATATCATACTTTTTCCTCAAACAAAGATCCAAGCATATTAGACATATTAGTTTTTATTAATAGATATTTTTATTAATGTATCTGATGTACAGGAAGTTGATTTCTATTAATTTGAATCATTTACATTATCCTATATTTTAAAGCTTACTAAACAATAATTACGTTGTTTTATATACACTTGTATATATCAGTAATATAATGTTTTGTGTATGTTTAACTTTGAACTTTTATCCATGTAGTAGGACATTCATTCATTCATAAACCTCAGATCAGACAAATTAATGTGCTTATTGAAAACACATGTTCCTTCCAACTGCTAATACAATATGTTACATATGTAAGATAACACTTACAGAATAACTAATTGGCACTCATTCCCTCTGGCCGAGCACTTCTGCCCACTTGCGCCATGGATCTCTCGATGAACAGTCGGCCCCGGCCGTTTTACCGTAGCTCCTCAGTAAGTAAAACATTTCCTCTTTATTACTTTTTTTAGGGTTCCACGAGTCGCTGCTAGTTGTCCAGTGAGCCCCACATCCTCCCACAGTTTTAGCTTTCCGAACCCCATCAATCCGTCTGCCTATCGTGCATTCTCACCGGACGCTGACAGATTGTCTCTGCAACGTCCACTAAGAAGTCAATATTCTGCAGACGACGATAATCTACGCCAGTTTCAATCTTTACCACGACACAGGGTAACAGCTGGCGGAATGCACCCAAGTGGTATGGATAATTATGATCCGTACTCATCTAGAAAACATGACAGCAACGGTTCGTTTGATCGTGGATGCTTCACAATGCCAAAACCTTCGCCATACCGACCAAGTAATGTTCAGGCACAAACCTCACATTTTCGAAGCGGCAGTAGTGACAGTAGTGGATACCATACATCTTATAGCCCAACGACAGTAGAATCACCTATTGGTTATCAGCAACGTTCTTCGTCGTCTGCTTGTTCTCCGCCAAAGAGTTTCTACGGTCCAGGGCCTGGTATTTCTCCCCCATCATATGAAAGAAGTCTCTCCGATAGAAATCGACCGTTTTCTCCCTTGTACAATCGCCAGGATTCTTTTGGACGAAATCAAGACCATTTCAGTCGAAGAATCAGTGACGAATTGCACAATTTACCTGCAGAATACTCCGAGAATGTAAACGGCACCAGCAGGAATCCACATCAGCTTGTTAGACAAAGTTCAAGGGAGCAACCTATCTACAGAGGATATCAATCTGACTTTTTAAATGGACGAACAAATGTAATATCACCCTCTAGTGAATATAATAGATCACCTAATGAAATCCGGCGACAGTTGTCATTTGAATCTAATATTCAAAACCCAACGTTTGCCCAACCATCAGTAAATGTAGGCGGAAATTCACAACCACGAGGGTTTCAGAGAAGTTATGTGTATGATGATGACAGAGCAGAAGAAAAACCTGTAGTACAATATCAGAGACAGACTTCATCAGGAACGTTACCTAAGTACGAGTCAACAATCTCATCACCTCCACCTGGCCACCATCCAAAACAAAATGGCGAAAAACCAGAGCCGCCAGTTAGATCGCACAGCTTTGAGCCCCGTGTGAGGAAACCGAGCCACGGCAGTTCTACGGGAATTAGTTCTATAGAGGATATTTTGTCTCCTTTCGAAAAATTTCAAACTTCCAGTTACTTTAACGAATTTTATAAGGACCAGCCAAAGTCACCCCCGACCACCTATAAGGCGAATTGTTTGGATACTTCAAATTATAGTTCTCTACCAACGGATGGTTCTCCAAGCTTACACAGACGGGAAGGAAATATTACAGCTTGTAAGGAAAAAAGTGTTTCAAACAACTCGAGAAATCAATTCGAGGAACCAGTGTCCTTGAACTCTAGCAAGGAAACAGGGGATAAGGAAATGGCTTCGTTTAATCGATTTGCACCACCACCCCCAATGGCACCCCCACCACCTCCTCCTCCACCACCACCACCACCCCCTCCCCCTGGACCCCCAGTGCCTGGACGGCAGATAACAAGAAAACATGTACAGGTATGCAATATGCATGTCAACTTACTTTTGATCAACAAATCAACATACTTTCAAGAGCATTTTTCCATAATCCAAAGCCATATTGTGATGTTAGAATACTAACATGAAGTGCATGCTATACTATGCAAATGGTATTTGTGCTACGTTAAAGCTGATGTGGGCGTCAGGGAATTCATGCAATGTATACACAGACATATAAGGTTGAATATATTAACTGTTCTCTAAATAAATTGTTTCGTTTTTTGAAATTGAAATAAAATATATTTGTAGCAGCCGGTTAGTAACGAACAGAGGACGCCGGGGGACGGAAGTCCTGTCACCCAAGGACAATTCTCGGATAAAATCCCGGATGCAGTGTTGAACACAATGCTTAAACAACAAGGAAGTGGAACTCCAAAGCCATTCGCCTATATCACAGGGGGCATAGACCTGAAAGAATTTAAACAAAAGAGAAAGTACGTCTAACCTTTGCATGCAATATTTCAAATAAACTGGCGTTTATAAACATAATAATGTTCATTGAAATTATTTGTACAGAACATATCTTATTGACAAACGTGCAATTAAAAGAAGAAAAACGTTATAAAAAAAACAGAGAAATCGAAAAAAAATTTGTAGAATTTATGGTGATTGATCTTCGAAACATGCATAAGCACCTCTTAGGAAACAAACATCAGTTGATTCACCGCTGCAATGTGAATTAAGGCTCTTCAAAAACTGCTGTCTGTGTAAAACATGGCAATTCACCAAATTGATGTACATATGTAACCAAGCACATGCCATGATACAGAAACAGCATTACGTACTAATTTTATAACTGTTAGATTTGTTGGTCGGAATGGGTTGTGTACCTTTATTGTTTAAGGTGTTTTTTATCTTGTTCTAGAAAATTGCACTTTTTCTATTGTCATCACCAAAAATATCAAGTGCCATAAAGTTTTAGGTTTATTTTCGGACTGATACATCATTTTAGAGACTTATTGATTTATTATTAATTATTTGGGCAGTGATCGACATTGAAGTAACACAAAAGTAAGTCAATTTAATGAATGTCCATAGGGTTCAAACCGTTTTGTGTCAGTAGCTTGTACTGATATTTAACTTTGACGTCGACTATTATTGTGGTGATATTGTTAGTTTCATAAAACTTGTGTGTGTTTTCTAGAAAATCACTTTACTTAAGTTTCGACGCATTTCGTTTAAACTTGAAACAGTGCTTTATTTTCTTTCTTGCATAATTTTACTATATTATTTACCTTTTTAAGTCGACCTCCACCCCCTGTAATGCCAAAATCCTACCGGGGTCCAGACCTAAACGTCCCTGAGCCGTCTACGTACAAAGCTCAGCCTTCGCCGCCAATTAGAGCGCAGCAATTTCAGCCTCAGCAACAATACCAGCAGGCTTCGCCAACAACACAACGCTTTTCTAACAACGCTTTGAGCTATCAACAGCAAGCACAGAGTTATCAACAACAACCGCAAGGCTATCAGCAACAACCTCAAACCTATCAACAACAACCTCAGAGATCACAAGATGCTTACAGACATGCACAATATAATTCTCCAATCCAGATGTATTCTCATAGCAACGCAGAGGAAGCACTGCGCACGCAGAGTGGCGGTGCTCTTACAGGGATATCTGGGTAGGTGTTGCCATTCAGGAAATCCAGTCTAATTTTTACTGAAAGCTTTATATCATTCACATAGTAAATAAGCTATTAATGGAAACTGGTATAAAAAGATCAAATATTGGCATATGCTGTCTCATTCTGTTTATTTTTTGTATTCGCTCGTATCTGTAAAACATACAACATGCTTTCAGTGCTCGGTCCCGCCAGAGACGGCGCTCAGAGCCAGCGGCTCCACTGTCGCGCTCTATCTTCTCGTTGCCAAACAAGACAATTCGGTGAGACGGTAGCATCGAGATTTAAACAATAATTCCTAATTCGTATATTTTGCATCAGGAAAGCACTTCAGTATGTCAGAAACACATTTTTTTCCTGTTAGATTTCTTTTCTTTTTTTTCTTTTTTAGAGATAATTCATATAACTCCAGTGCATTTATCGTGGAAGAATATGGCATGTCGGCTTAATTGAGCAAAAGGCTTTAAAGCTGCATATTAAAGCATGAAAATAGTAATATTCAAAACAAGCCATTATACATTTTATCCATAATATACTTTGCAAATTGCAAAGTATTGAGCTTTAAAAAAAACGCTTTTAGAATCATTTATGTTTTATTTTGTTGGCAAATGATATACCAGTAAGGCCAGCATTTTTTATTTTCAGATTTACAAACCCGCCGTTCAAGTTTTTGAATTTTCAGAAAAAAAAATAAAATTGAGAAAAATGTTATTTTTTTCTTTCCGATGTCGAAATTGAGTCGGGAACTAGATTTCAAATTTACGAACTCGTACTTCCTGTTTAAGATAAATATGGCGGGTAAATAAACTTTATAAAGGTAGATCTGCATGGTCCATAGCAGCATCATAGTTTGGTTTAGTGTAAAATTTATCGATAGGAGTGCCATTCAAAACGTTTCACCCGTTTAGAGGACAAATAAAATGCTGACGACTTTTTTGCACAATGACATGTTGTGAGATATTATGTAACCGTATTCATAAGTATCTGCATGTATATTAATTTCCTCCCACAGCTTAAAAACTGCCCATGGTAGCTATAGCCAGAGACATTGTTTAGGTCTCTCCTATAGCTTACAGTTTAAGCAACATTCTTCAGAAAAGGATCGATGTAATGAATAAAACTATTGGAGAAGTGAAGTCCATTTGAGGTGAAATAAACAATAGCCTAAAAGAAATGAAATATTTCAACTATTAAAGGAAACAAGTATACACAAATATATACATCCATGTAGTATCTGTTTTTGAATGTGGAAGCCAGAAAAATTATTTTACACTTGATTGAAAAAAATTTAATTCCCCTCCCTAATAATCCCTGTCTCTTATATGATAGGAATATTTACTTAATTAAGGTCTCGAGTATATTTTTAGAACAATTTCTACACAATCACTCAACACATATAAAAAAAATGAAGATATATTGAAAGAGTTTAAAAAAATTTGATTTTTTTAAAATTTGTACTTTGACCAACATCTCAAAATTTATATCACTGTCCCCAACTTGCCGACAATGAAATAAACAATTTAAGGTTCTACCTTCCTATTTGTAAAAAAAAAAATAATGTACTAAAGTCGGCAATTTATCCAAAAAAAAAAATTATTTTTTTTTTCATTTCCTCCTCCTAAGGAACTTTTTCATTCTGATGTTCGTAAACCTAAAAAAAAAAAAAAAATAAAAAAAAAAAATAAAATAAAAAAAAAATGCTGGCCTAATGCTTAGCACGATCAACAGGGATATATAACAAAAATGCAACCGAAGGCAAAAATAGTAAAACTTTTCATTCGTCATTATTGGTACGTAATTTTTCAGTGCAAACATCAGATTTTTCAGATGCCATCATTTCTTAAATTTATTACTCCTACCTGAATAAAGTTGTCTAAAATTGTGCAATTATTCATTTATAAAATCAAACAAAGTTGTACATGTACATACTCTGTCACATTTTAGAGGATTTGGGCGAACAAGGCGTGCAAAATGCCTATAAAAGTCAAATGTATAAAAGTCATATTCAGTTTGTAAATTTAGTATTTAGATTAAAGTTCTTGTTATTGATAGGTATGGAATTATGACAATTAAATTTTTCTGCCGAAATTTTTATGCCCCCGGATCGAAAGATCCCGGGGGTATATTGTTTTTGTCCTGTCTGTCTGTTTGTCTGTTAATCTGTTTGTCTGTTTGTCCGTTTGTCTGTTTGTCTGTCTGTTTGTTGTCAACTTTAACCTTGCCCATAACTTTTGATTGGTTGGAGCTATGACTTTCATATTTCACATGTGTATTCCTTGTGACAGGACCTTTCTTTGGGTACCATCATATTTGACCTTTTGACCTTGACCTTGGAGTTTGACCCACTTTTGCAAAATTTTATGAAACTTTAACCTTGGCCATAACTTCTGAACAGCTGGTGCTTGGGGTTTTAAACTTCATATGTGTATTCTTTGTGACAAGGCCTTCCTTTGGATACAAACAACTTTGACCTTTTGACCTTGACCTTGGAGTTTAACCTCCTTTTGAAAAACTTTAACCTTGGCCATAACTTTTGAACAGTTGGTGCTTAGGGTTTCAAACTTCACTTGTGTATTCCTTGTGACAAGACCTTCCTCTGGATATCAACCACTTTGACCCTTTGACCTTGACCCAGGAGTTTGACCTACTTTTGAAAAACTTTAACCTTGGCCATAACTTTTGAATGGTTGGAGCTAGGGCTTTCATACTTCACATATGTAATCCTTGCGACAAGACCTTCCTTTGGATACCAACCACCACTTTGACCTTTTGACCTTGACCTAGGAGTTTGACTTACTTTTGAAAAACTTTAACCTTGGCCATAACTTTTGAATGGTTGATGCTAGGGCTTTCATACTTCACATATGTAATCTTTGTGACAAGACCTTCCTTTGGATACCAACCACTTTGACCCTTTGACCTTGACCTAGGAGTTTGACCTACTTTTGAAAAACTTTAACCTTGGCCATAACTTTTGAATGGTTGGTGCTAGGGCTTTCATACTTCACATATGTAATCCTTGTGACAAGATCTTCCTTTGGATACCAACCACTTTGACCTTGACCTTGACGTTTGATTTTTATTAAAAAAACTTTAACCTTTGCCATAACTTTTGAACAGTTGTATCTAGGTCTTTCAAATTTCACAGGTGTATTCCTCAAGACAAGACCTTTCTTTGGGTATCAACATTTTTTATCTTTTGGCCTGGATTTTGACTTGCATTTGAAGAAACTTTAACCTTCGCCATAAGCTGCCATACGGGGGTATCAGTGTTTCACAAACACATCTTGTTTTCATTCTATAATTAGAAAAAATTGGTAATCTTGGGGTTCAAACCCAAGCAATAAAACCCCAAAGTATCATTTCTCCCTAAGCCTAACACTCCAACCACTAAGCTTCACCGCTCATAACAAACATTGGCCTTTAAATCAAATTGTAATATGACCCTTGACTGAATGGACGTATATTTCTTTGGAAAGATGCGAACGTTCTGTCATAAAAATGTATTTTAAAGAATAGTGCACGTAGGTCCTTGCTCCATCTTTTGGTTAGCAGAAGAATAGATATTTTTACGAATACTTTGAACGTAATCTTTCAAAAAATGGAGTGAGGATCCACTCGTATGGAAAAAATTGTGTTGAAGAATTGATTATTTTGCCCTCTTTGATGTATATATGCTATTTCACAGAGGAATTATTTCAATCTTTGCGAGATTGTTGCGATTTGTGGAGGTTTTTCATAAAGTATACGTTAATGTTCAATGAAATATCAAAGAAAATGTTGTCATAATTGAGATTTAATTTTTCACTTTCTTAATTGTCGCACAATAAGCATTTTGCTCGCCTTGTTCGCCCATCTTCTTTGAAGTCTTGTTTGAGTCTTCTTTAAATAATTTAAATAAAAGTATCTAATTGGCGCAAGCCTTTACTAACAAATTGTTAGAATCCCCCCCCCCCCCATTTGTATCCATACATTTAAAACAAATTTTAAGTGGAAGTATTCAGCCTGAGTTTCCTCCTTTTTTTTTTTTTATCTTTTAGAATAAGTTTTCATATATTGCCACATCTTCTAAAAATATAAGATATTATATGGAAGAAAATAATGAAATAGAGTAAAGTGGGGATAATCGAGGTTATCAAAATATTCGATTTCCTCACTGAAATTAGCAACATTTATTAAATAAAAGTTAAATAAAGGAAAATCATGTGCTATTTAAGCAATTTTTAAAACAAAAATACCATGAATATTTTTAATTTGAAAAACATGGAATGAACGATAGGTAGTTAAAACATCCTGCATTACAATACTAATGAAGGGTCTTCAACTGAGGCCATTATTTTCGTTATGAGTGAGTTTTCATGGCTGTAGGAATAGGGCACATGGGGGGAGGTGGGCGTGAACGCCAATACTTTTGCTGATATATAGTATAGTATAGAAAACATAGCTACTTCATGCTTGTGCCCATTTAGTAATAACGTCTGATGACCTCTTTTCTTTCTTTTTTTATGGCGTCGAGCAGAGCTCGAACGTCATCTAGCCAGCATTCCATCGAAATCACGGGAATTTACACAAGCAAAGGTGTCCGTCAGTGCACCCAAAAAAGAAAATAACAATATCAATATATCAATCGATTTCATCGAAAATGCTCACGATGAATATAATAACTTAAAAATAAATAATTACATCAATTATATTAAGAATAATCTGTATTACAAAACACAGAAACTTTGTTAATTTTCACACAAGAAAAACGTGATAGTTGTTGCGGATGAATTTCTAAGGAAAGCGGGCGTCGAATGACATGAATAACATTTTGGAAGGATAACCATTTAAAAGAAACAACCCACCAGCCGGTAAAATAATCACAAAATTACATAAAAACGAATTCTAAAAGAATAAAGACATTGGATTTCAACATAACTTTTACAATTTTATCATAAAAACCGGTTATCGATCTCTATTACCATGATTACTGAATAAGTGTATTTCTCTATTTCATCCATTTCGTAGTATATCGCACAGGGTCTTGGTTTATAAATATGCATGTACCTTATTGATATGTAAAAGAAAAAGTAAAGGTATGCAGGCTCCGTAATGGCGTCTGTTCAACTCGCTTGTTTACATGGCTTGTTCTTTGAAAATAACGCACATACTTACCGATCTTTATGCACCGGAAGTCTCAGAACATTGATTACTTATTGTAAAAACGCTCACATCTTACAAATAATTCCTAAAAACATTTCTAGAAACAAAAATGAAGCTTATCTTGAAAATGTCTGTATATTCAAAGATTAAATTAAATTAAATGAAATTCCAAATTAATTATCTGATAAATGATTGTAAGAATTTTTTTCACGTACGAACAACAAGATTTATATTCGAGGAAAAAAAAATGTATATATTCATGAGTCGATTATTCTTCATAAAATATAAAAGTAGAAATAGTAGACAAAACACAGAAAGTGACGAGGGAAAGGCCAAAGAGTGATGGGAGCAACATCATACTCCCCCACATTAGGAAGTGAAATATAGATTGTATAAAAATATTTTTTCTGTTTGAGTTAAGGTCTGACGACACGTTCCTTAAATATCGATGTTTTGTATCTCATCGTAATATACTACAAATTAATCATAATTATCATTATCTTAGGATTTCTAAACTGTTTTCAAAATATATTAAGATATAAATACACCAAGAATTGATATTGGCAATGCTAGTGATTTCTAATAGAATTATATGAGAAACACCATCCTTTGGTATCTTGCACAAATGCCTGGAAAGGTACCTCAATTTTTTGAGAGGAAACTTGTTAAAGTAGCAATACTTCATTGACAAATTCTTGGGAAAAATTATACATTATTGAGGAACGTGTCGTCTGACCTTAAAGGAAGTCATCCTTCAGAGAGAAAATAAATAAACAAAAAATACAGAAATAAATAAACAAACTTAAAATTTACCCCAGATTATTATTTGTTTAACCAGTTGAGCTACAACCGTAGGACTTCTGGATCACTCTGTCGACCTGTTTATCTGGTCACGTTAAGCGGACGATGCCTATATCAATTCGTAACCATATGGAATGTACGTTGTCTGTTTCTACTGCATTTTTTCTATTCAGTTCCAAAATTATTTCTAGATGTACCCTGTTTCAGTTTTTTTATGTACCGACAACTATCCAAGAATTATGCATAGCTATAGAGAGCTGTTTTTATTAGAACTGGCGAATTTAGATAGCACATAATATTTATTTAAACATAGTAATATTTATAAAATATTTTATACATCTAATTTTCCCCAAAATTGTCATCTAATCAATTTTAAATTGTCAGTGTTTATGAATAATCTGGGGAGAATGATGGAAACATAGATTAGTAGATTAAATACACTGTACTAGTACATGTTGAATGCACATATATACTAGTATAATCATTTAATTCGTGGGGTCAAACTTTCATAATTTGAAGAAAAATTACTGGTTTGATGGGATTTTATTTCGTGGTTAAAGAATAAACATCATGCTGTAGTACATGTATAACATTTTTAAAATTTTGTGGGATATGAATTCATGGGTCTTTTCTTACACCAAAAATTGGTGATTTCACAGTATATTAGTATTATAAATATTTCATACGTTATTTATGCATTTCTTTGTAACATTTTTTTAATTGTCCGAATTAGCAAATAACTCTTTGGAGATATTTTCTTATGAAAAGAGAAGTAGTCAGAGAAGTCGTTATATGGACGATTAAAGTTGTCAAATCGTCCTTTGTGTGTTCTTGAAGTTGCAGCATGATTTTTTATTGTGAACCTTTTTTTTTGGGAGACTGAACCATTTAAATCATTCTTTGCAGTTATCCAGAAAAACCTGCACAAGATATCCAACAATCTGAAGTTTACAAAATGGTACAGGAAGCGGACGGCAAAGGTAAGATTGGTATACAACAGCCCTTGCATATCAATACCGGTCCAGAATATATTCCGGAAATCACGTCACCGGAAGCTAGTGTTGAAAAGCCCAGATTTCTTAAACCGAGAAAAGCAGGCCTATCCTTTCGCGTGTTGCAATGGATGACTGACACAGATGATTTGGACGATGAAACTGTCAACGACGAAGACATAGATAGTAGGCATACAAAAGATATTATTTAATATATCAACCTTCCTGCCATCTTATCCTTGCTGTCTCCGATGTCCCAGCTTACCCTCCTCATTGTCCCTATATCGGCATGCACTATATACACAATATCTAAATATCAACATTTCTATCTTCTAATGAGTTGAAAACATATAGCACCAAGTGTTACATTGACATGAATATTTTGTTGTCAAATAAAAGCAAGATTAAGTGTATTTGACATGCAATAAGTAAGCTGAAAACAAAACAAATGATGCATACATTGCAATTAATCACGAAACATTATTTGGACCGCAATTCCTTGTTTGATGTAAAATCTACGTATGCATTCATGTATTAATGTACATCTATATATATTCACCGATAAATAAAAATGTGGTAAGATACTGTATATACATGTATGTGCATTTTGGGCAGAAATATACAGTCACTTTGTTTAACAACATTCCGAAACTAGTGGCCAGTAAAATTGATGTTCACTAAAATTTTTCGTCCTTTTTAAAAAAAACTAATATGTTAGTTCTAAGCTCACCTATAAGTAATATACCAAATCGAGCTTTTCTAATGAATGGTTTTCTACTGTTTGTTAGTCAGTTATTACTTTTTTGTTTTACATTTTCGTCTTCTTTCCAAGAATCAATGAGCTAAACTTGTCACGCAGCATTCTGGATGCAGGGGATTCAAGTTTATTCAGGTGAAGGATGGGCGATTGTTAAGAAAAAAAAATATAGGATTCCGTCCAAAAATCTTCTCAAGAACAAAGAAGAGGAATAGACATGTCACACTTGGCATATTTTTACATAGTTCACCATGGAAATATATAGAGAAAATCTTGAAAATAAAAAAAAATCTATATAGGAACAGCAGGGTCACAATTTATCATATTATTGGTCTTGTAGAGTAGGCTTTCCCCTCTACCCCCCCCCCCCCCCTCCCCCCGGAATCTGTCTCTAGAGTAAGATTTCGTAGTTAAAATTCTGGGTTGAGTCGAATCAACTAATATTTTCATTAAAAAATCAGTTGACGTTCATATAAACTTTTTGCCAAAACATTTTTGATATGATTTTAGCTTTGATGAAATAGGGGAAATCCTACTCTGAGAAAGAAAGAGGGGGAGGGGGTTGGCTTTAGTGTGAGATTTACCCTCGGGGAAAAGTCCTACTCTAAAGTACAAATTTCGGGGGGGGGGGGGTTGCAATGGGGGAAATTTTACTGTGCAACACTGGTATTTAACAAGCATATCCATATGTGAATTGAAATGTGTTCAGATTTAGTCCCGGAGTTAGGATGAGACTTATGTTTTATGTATAAATGTATTTTGTATAAAAGTTATTCAAAGAAATATAACCTACAAATATCTGAAAATCTGTTTTTCAAGAATTGGTGATGCTGATATGGTGAGAGTTGGGGGTCTCTTATACTGTGTATATTTTTAAAGATATTCACACATTCATAAAAAAAACGACTGCTTCAACCCCCTCCCCCAAATTCTACGGACTTTAAATGAATTTATCCTTTATATCACGGTATGATATTATCAATGCAAAGTATCTGAACTCTCTTAAAACTTCTGTTGAAAAGAAATTCAAGTTTCCTGATCGGATTTGCATCATGAACCCCAAATAAATCAATTAACATTAATCAGCCAATCGATCAATTGTCTAGATTAAACTGAGGACACTTATTCTTGGACACATATTAATTACTAATTCATTAAATCTCTCCTTAATCTAGAACAAATGATAACATTTATCATTATTTCAATAAGAGGTTGATGTACAAATTGTTTAAATTAGAAGTACACTGTATACAGCTGAGTTAATATTGAGATTTAAATCTGATCTAGAAGCCTGAAGTGGACTACTTTATTAAAAAAAAAAAAAAGAACGAGTTTGTTATCTTACCACGCTATGAAACTTTCCTTGTAACTTAATTATTTGTAGTATAGATTTATCTTGACATACATAGACAAGAGATAGTATATTCATAGTAGATTTGAATTTAAATAAGATTTTGCTTCCAGAATCAATTAGCTATACTATTTTTTCGGGTGGTGGAAGGCCGGAAGGGGGTGCTTTTTTACAGTTATTTTTTTACGCCCTGATTACCCAAGACATTAATTCCGATCAACAATAACGATGTCTTACGGTCAGACGACAGGTTCCTCAATAATATATACCGGTCATTTTCCCGAAGAATTTGTGATTGAACTTTTTAAGAAGTTTCCTCACAAATAATTGAGGTACATTTACCAGGCATTTCGGCAAACTTCCAAGTGATGGAAATAACTTTAATTGCTGGTATCACAATTTTGGTTTATATTTTTTTCAGACATTTTACAACGGATTAGAAATAAGAAAATCACAATAATATTTCTACATATTTTTGTTATATATTGAAGAAGAAATGGACAAACAGTTACATACATTCGAGGGACGTGTCGTGAAGACCTGAACAACACTTCTCATTACTTAATCTTTGCTTTGTTTCGCCATGTTTTTTCCATTCTCTATCTACTTGCAGATTTGTTCACTTAATTTACTTGTTACATTTTTTAAGCATATTTAGGGTAGGCACCCTACATGAAACTAGAAAATGTTTGTTTAGGCATATTTTTGGGAAAAGTATCATTTTTGGTTTTCAAATCGTTGTAATCTTTTATTAAGTACAAGAGAGCCAAAAATTACTTCAGAGTATTGATGTAAGGATTTCAAATATTTTTTTTTTGATTTATGTCAAATATGTACCCTTTAATTGTTTTAGCCTTATTACAAGGGGCGTTCATTCGGTGCGAGTTTTGCATGCTTTACAAGATTAAGGTGTACATACTTCAGAATCAACTTCTCTATCCTTAGCTATTTAAAACAATAAAAAAAAAACAAGTAATATTACAGTTGTACCAATGACATCTGTAATTTTATTGTCTATGATCAGCGTTATTTTGGGATGTACTCGCTTAATTAGCTGACTATGAAGAACGTATACATCTCACTGCGAGACAAACCCTCTATTACCGACCTGTCTGAGGGAATAATTTGTCAATAATAAAACGGAATTCCCTTGACTGAGATGAAAAAAAATTCTCTCCATAAATGGTCCCTTGAAGGTTCTTGATGTCTCTGAAAAAAGAAAAAAACGCTCGTCATTAGATGCCATTCTCTATTTCACGACATACTACACTGTCTACAAATCACGCAAACGAATTCTTGTCATGGTCATTTGTAAAACAGACCCGAAATTTCTAATTAATTCTAAACCATTTTCATAAGTAAAAATGTAAGAGTTATATTTTTGTGTTTCAAAGAATAGAAAACACATGAATCTATTCCATGTAAATATATTATATAGAAAGGACATTTGCTACAAACAAAAATCAGATGCATGCATTGGTATATATTTTTGGACTTGTTTTGGTTTTAAATGATGCAAATATAAAATTCTTCCGATATTTAGAAGGTATTAAAAAATTGTAGATTTTTTCATGTTCAGAATTCTCTTTTTGCGATTCCCCTTGTAAATCAACACATGCACTCTTTTTTCACTTTACATGACAGTGCTGAGTAATGCTGAAAAAAAGGAAGTAAACTTTGTGTGGTTGCTTAACGTATTCCTTTTACATATATAAACAAAGATTTAGAATCTACTTTCACGATTTTTGGAAAACGTTTATTCGTAACAAGTTGCCTTAATGGTAATAAAAGTTTACAATTCAACACTGAAGAAGGATTTACATATTATCAGGTAGAAAACCAAGGCAACCACGGGATCCACTTTTACGTCATAATTCTATTGATGACGAGATGAGATTTTCTGGATTAAACAAGAAAACAGAAATACCTTCAAAAACTTTTATGAAATTGAACCAGCTCTCTGTCAACGATACAAATGATTCATCAACCCAATTGCAGAAATACGACCAACCAGATAGCAATCAAGGTAACAATGTAGAAGATGCTAGACATAGCCTACATGTAGCAGTAGGATTTTACAATAGTCGATTATTGCTATATAGCAGAGTGGACTAGCCAGACATTTTGATCATTCTATAATGCTAAATACTAATATTAGCAGGGAACAAAGGGTTTGCTTGCCTGCAATGTTGATGCTTTTGTGTGGTAATAAGGCTTGAACTGTTGAATGAGCAAAATATTCACCAACCAATGCTTGGCTTTTGATCCTGCTTTTCTTAAGATAAAATTTTAACTTTTTGAAAATAAAAATTTCCTATCACAAAACCATAGACTATGAATAGCGTGTTTTAAAATTGTCTGAAAAGATTTACCGCGTCAATATCAAATACGAGTAGCTATTATGACGTCAAGATGCTGAAAAGACCTGACCCAATAGGGGACCTGAGGAGACAGACGTTAATGGCTTAGGACCACAGGTACTCGACGTGACATATTTTTCTTATTAAAAAATATATAGAGGATATTCAATGTTGGATATGGAATTTATTTCACGAGTTGGACAGGATTTTTTTTTGGATATTTTCACGAGTGCGAAGCCTAAGTGAAAAAAAAATAAAAAAAATCCTGTCTCACGAGTGAAATAAATTCCATATCCAACTACAAAACATTGAATTTTCTGTTTATTACATTTTCAACAGTGAAATATTGTGATTTTTTAGCTCACCTGAGCTGAAAGCTCAAGTGAGCTTTTCTGATCACCCGTTGTCCGTCGTCCGTCCGTCTGTAAATTTTTCACATTTTAAACTTTTTCTCAAGAACCACTGGGCCAATTTTAACCAAACTTGGTACAAAGTATCCTTGGGTGAAGGGGAGTTTAAATTGTTAAAATAAAGGGCCAAGTCCCCTTACAAGGGGAGATAATCAAGAAAAACCAAAAAATAGGGTGGGGTCATTAAAAAATCTTCTCCTCAAGAACCAGTGGGCCAAAATAGCTGAAACTCAGGTGGAAGCATTCTGGGATAGTGTAGATTCTAAATTGTTAAAATCATGACCCCCGGGGGTAGGGCGGGACCACAATAGGGAATCCAAGTTTTACATTGAAATATATAGGAAAAAATCTTTAAAAATCTTCTTCTCAAGAACCACAATGTCAGAAAAGCTGAAACTTATGTGGAAGCATCCTGGGGTAGTAAAGATTCTAAATTGTTCAAATCATGACCCCCGGGGGTAGGGCGGGCCACAATAGGGAATCCAAGTTTTACATTGAAATATATAAGAAAAATCTTTAAAAATCTTCTTCTCAAGAACCACAATGTCAGAAAAGCTGAAACTTATGTGGAAGCATCCTGGGGTAGTGTAGATTCTAAATTGTTCGAATCATGATCCCCGGGGGAAGGGCGGGGCCACAATAGGGAATCCAAGTTTTACATTGAAATATAAAGGAAAAATCTTTGAAAATCTTCTTCTCAAGAACCACTGGGCCAGAAAAGCTGAAACTTATGTGGAAGCATTCTCAGGTAGTGTAGATTCTAAATTGTTCAAATCATGATCCCTGGGGGTAGGGCGGAACTATAATAGGGAATCCAAGTTTTTCATTGAAATATGTAAGAAAAATCTTTAAAGATCTTCTTCTCAAGAACCACTGGGCCAGAAAAACTGAAACTTAGGTGGAAGCATCCTCAAGTAGTGTAGATTCTAAATTGTTCAAATCATGACCCTCGGGGGTAGAGCGGAGCCACAATAGGGAATCAAAGTTTTACTTTGAAATATATAGGAAAAATCTTTAAAAATCTTCTTCTCAAGAACTACTGGGCCAGAAAAGCTGAAACTTATGTGGAAGCATCCTGGGGTAGTGTAGATTCTAAATTATTCAAATCATGACCCCTGGGGGTAGGGCGGGGCTACAATAGGGAATTCAAGTTTTACATTAAAATATATAGGAAAAATCTTTGAAAATCTTCTTCTCAATAACCACTGGACCAGAAAAGCTGAAACTTAGGTGGAAGCATCCTGGGGTAGTGTAGATTCTAAATTGTTCAAATCATGACCCCCCGGGGTAGGGCGGGGCCACAATAGGTATTACAAGGAGGCAATATGGTAAAGAACAGCAGGGCCAAAGTTACTCAGGTGAGCGATGTGGCCCATGGGCCTCTTGTTATTGAATAAAAGTGATATTCGCTCACAGTGTGAAAGGATAACAAAGTGATATTCTCTCACAATGTGAAAGGATATCAGAGTAAGTAAAAAATAATTCCTGGTCCATACTAATATAGAGATCGTAACTAAACCGTCTTAATAGAGACTAAAACGGCTAATTATGTTGCTTAAATCCATGTTACAATGTTTTCAATCTCACAACTGTTAAGCTATGACGTCTCAACTATGACGTCACAGCCCATGACACTGTGTTAAGAAGAGACAGAAGCAAAGGGAAAATAAAAAAAAATGTAATAAACAGAAAATTCAATGTTTTGTAATTGGATATTGAATTTAATTGACTCTTGAGACAGGGTTTTTGGGAGTTGAACTCCCTTGGTCATCACGGGCTTTCTTTGCGCAGTAATTTGTATTCATTATATAGTGGCCGTCCGTGGGGCTTCTGTGTCGGCCAATATACTCCTGTGATATTCAATGTAAACTTGCATAAACGTTCGCCATAAAATAGTCCATTCCATTTTTCTGAATTAATGTAATTTTGATAAATGACATGAAAGTAAATGCAATTTAATTTCATTTAACTTAATTTGAATTTGAATATTATTTTGATTAAATTAAAATTGATTTATACAGAACTAAAACAAGATATGTTTGTGAAACACTGATGCCCCCGTATGGCAACTTATAGCAAAGGTTAAACTTTCTCAAATGCAAATCAAATATGTTGGTACCCAAAGTAAGGTCTTGTCTCGAGGAATATACCTGTGAAATATGAATGCCCTAGCAGCAACCATCGAATAGGTATGGAAAAGGTTAAAGTAATTTAATCATCAAGATCAAGGTCAAATGGTCAAAATTAATGGTGCCTAAGGAAAGGCCTTCTCACAAGAAATATACAGGTGAAATATGAAAGCTGAAGCACCAATCGTTCAAAAGTTATGACCAAGGTTAAAGTGTTTCAAAGGTAGGTCAAACTCCAAGGTCAAGGTCAATGTTTTACAATTGTTGGTATCCAAAGGAAGGTCTTGTCACAGGGAAAAAAACATGTTAAATATGAAAGCCCTAGCAACAATTTTCCAAAAGTTGTATCCAAGGTTAAAGTTTTCGAAAGTAAGTCCAAGGTCAAAGGTTCAAAGTTGTTGGTATCCAAAGGAAGGTCTTGTCACAAGGATCATATGTGAAGTATGAAAGCCTTAGCACCAACGGTTCAAAAGTTATGGCCAAGGTTAAAGTTTTCCAAAAGTAGGTCAAACTCCAAGGTCAAAGGGTCAAAGTTGTTGGTATCCAAAAAAAAAATCCAAGGTCAAAGTCAAAGGGTCAAAGTTGTTGGTATCCAAAAAAAAGTCTTGTCACAAGGATTACATATGTGAAGTATGAAAGCCCTAGCATCAGCGATTCAAAAGTTATGGCCAAGGTTAAAGTTTTTCAAAAGTAGGTCAAACTCCAAGGTCAAGGTCAAAGGGTCCAAGTTGTTGGAATCCAAAGGATGGTCTTGTCACAAGGATTACATATGTGAAGTATGAAAGCCCTAGCACCAGCCGTTCATAAGTTATGGCCAATGTTAATGTTTTACAAAAGTAGGTCAAACTCCAAGGTCAAGGTCAAGGGGTCAAAGTTGTTGATATCCAAAGGAAGGTTTTGTCACAAGGATTACATATGCTAAGTATGAAAGCCTTAGCACCAACCGTTCAAAAGTTATGGCCAAGGTTAAAGTTTTTCAAAAGTAGGTCAAACTCCAAGGTCAAGGTCAAAGGGTCCAAGTTGTTGGAATCCAAAGGATGGTCTTGTCACAAGGATTACATATGTGAAGTATGAAAGCCCTAGCACCAGCCGTTCATAAGTTATGGCCAATGTTAATGTTTTACAAAAGTAGGTCAAACTCCAAGGTCAAGGTCAAGGGGTCAAAGTTGTTGGTATCCAAAGGAAGGTTTTGTCACAAGGATTACATATGCTAAGTATGAAAGCCTTAGCACCAACCGTTCAAAAGTTATGGCCAAGGTTAAAGTTTTTCAAAAGTAGGTCAAACTCCAAGGTCAAATGGTCAAATATGGTGGTACCCAAAGAAAGATCTTGTCTCAAGGAATATACATGTGAAGTATGAAAGCCCTAGTACCAATCATTCAAAAGTTATGGCCAAGGTTAAAGTTGGGAAAATTTTTGCAAAACTGGGTCAAACTCCAAGGTCAAGGTCAAATATGGTGATACCCAAAGAAAGGTCTTGTCACAATGAATACACCTGTGAAATATGAAAGACATAGCTCCAACCAATCAAAAGTTATGGGCAATGTTAAAGTTTTTGCGGACAAACAGACAGAAAAGACAGACAGACGGACGGACAGGGCAAAAACTACATACCCCCGAATCTTCGATACGGGGGCATAAAAATGTTACGGACCTCCTTTGCAGCGCAGCGGCACCTATAAACAATGAGAGGGAAATTAACGACAACTCTGCACATATGGCTATGGCGCGAAACCTTTTTGCATTGACTGATGCGTAGTAAAAACTATTTCACAAGCAATGTTATACCTTTTTTTTCAGCCATAAATATTCGAAGTTTTCAACAATACAATGTATTTATTTGGTAATACAATAAATATTTAAAGAATAAACAAGTTACATTGATTTGGATATAAATGAATAAGTGGAGATTTTTACTTCGAGGACCCTATATTACGGGCGTTTTATCGTCTAATTACCATCATTTTCAAATTTATTTCATAATTAAATGATAATTTTATGTTTCAAGAATATAACAGTGTTTCATTTTAAAGAAATTTAGATACGTGATAAAAACCCTCTAATGAAATACAAGTTTGAAGTGGGGTGGCTGAACCTTGTGGTAAAAATAAGTAGGGGTGCCCTGTATACGTATCAGGTACCTGTGTTTTGATCGGACAGATAGATTTGGGTTTCCCATAGTTAGCAGACTTTGCTCATATTGGAAACGGGGGTATCATTTGGGACCTCACCACTCACAGTACCTTAATTTTCACACTGAGAAAATGACACCAGTGAAAATATCAGTTTTATTCAATGGATAAATTACAGTATTTCACAAATGAAAATGTAATAAAATATAATCATATTTATTGTATTTGATCAATAACTGTACATGTACGAAGAATTGGAAAATTTATTATTTAGCATTCAACTTAGCGTCTTAACACTTATCTGACTTAATTTATTTTGTTGTCTTAAAAAAGTATAAATTTGATTAAGTGATGGTTCATATTTTTTGTTCATGTATAATAAAAACTATCTTCACAGACACAAAAGATAATGCATCTTTTTAAATTCCAGATAATATGGAGACGAACCGAGTGGGTAACTACGAACAGACATCTATCCGCTACACCGGCAAACATATCCCTTCGCCTTCCTTCAGAGTTCTACAGAAATTTGCGGATGAAGTTGATACATATGGTAAATAAAAAATTGTATTTATAAATTACACACTGCATTGGCCATAATAAATGGAGTCCTCTTAATTATAAACTAAAATGTCTAAACCTTGATTGTTCACCTGATCAGGCTATATATCTGTTTAAGTAAGTAGAAAGTCCAATATCCAAACATTTTAGCAAAATTTACAGTACATGTGGTGAAAACTAAGTAGAATCATTATTAATAGTTTTGCCAATTATACACATTCTACTAGCATGAATGAAGAATATTTTTACAATCTAATAACAAATGTCACACCGTGGAAAATTGTAATCTATTAGAGCTGGAGAAAATGTTCTGTATAACATTTCATAAAATGATTACACGTAGAGAATCAAGATTATTGTGTTATATGTACTGTTTTTTCCTGCATCTTGCACTTGCAATAATTTATATGTATGTATCTTCCTTGTTTGTGTTCCTCTCCATACACACATTCCACTGTTCAATAAATAACAGATTCCTCCGTAATCAAGAGAGGACCCCAGATAGAAAGCGACGACCTAGATGATACGGATGACGAATTACCCGAAACACTCAGTGGAGAGGAACTCGCTGACAAACGATATACCGGAAGTACAATCCCATCACGCTCCTTCCGCATGTTGCAAATGTCAGTCGGAAATGACGTCACACCTGAAACCGGTATCACATTTCATCTAACAGTTCTTCCATGACAACCTTTTTGTCTCTGTCCGTAGTGATAGCCATCTTATAACACTGAAATTCTTAAGGTTGTTCAAGTTAAAAAAAATTGGTCCAGTGTAATTATTTATTTTCAGCTATTTAAACTTTTAGCGGAAAACACTTTATTTGGGTGTATTGTATCTTCTGGTCAATTTCAATACAAAATATCTCTGCTTCCGTGCCATACTAACTTTGAATTTTACTTATCTATTGCACATCAAATAGTGTGCCATGCATTTCACCTAAATACTTTACTTTTAACCTCCATGTTTTAAATAAGGTAGATTAAAGATAACTACATGTAGATATAATTGTTTAAATTGTTGCATCAAACATTAATTGTCTGAAACACAACATTTACTCCATCTGCAAAATTTTAAGAAAGGTTAATTTGATTTCTTGAAAAAAGTAAAATATTTCGAATTTTAAATGCTTGAATGCCATAAAGTCCTCTTTTTTAGCGGCCGAGCGAACACCACCATCTGTCAATCAACAGCAAAGTGACACTCAACCCAAGATCACGATAATCACGCGAAGTCACGCAGTGCCTGCCCAAATACAACCACCAGAGGACGTGCCCAGTACAGATTTTTAGACTGACCCAGGATTCTTGATCATTTCATAGATGTGCTTAACTATTGACAGTAAATGAGATTGTTCGCAAGTCTTGAACCATCTAAAACATAATTGAGTTTAACCTGTATTAGATTTTGACATAATTTTCCCATATATGATTTCATAAATAAAGATATATAAGGCTATTCATGAGATAAAATAAGTAATGAATTTGACTGTATTTAGAGTGATCCTTGATCTGACCATCAATTATCGGCGTTTGAAATGAAAGTAAGACTTTTTTTAATTTATATATGTATAATTATTATGTAAAACTTCGTTTGTATCTAATGAGTTCAGATTTATAATGTATTGTAAATGTAGAAATTATAGTATTCATATAGCTATTGATGACATGGTGTATGCATAATATAAATTCACTCTTGTGTATCATGTACATGTATAAAGCAAAATGTATAGTTTATGAACCATTTTCTTGCCATTGTCAGTCTGTATTTATAACATATTGGTACATTTTTGGTATTATTTTCTAAATTAAGGATGTCAACGAGGACTCGACTACTCGACCCCTCACTTGGTCATAGCGATTATCGACGAAATATTTTTAGTCGGTTACTCGTTAAATTGTGCTGTTTGATATGATTTTCATTTTCAAATTAATATTTTTCTTCACCTATCTACTTATGTCCAAACTCTGACCCTCCTCGGATACTAAAGGCATATATATCATTGGGGAGGTAGATGTGTGCGTATTATGATACTTATTTTGATGATTAGATTTGTTGTTTTCACTAAATTGCATTATTAAGTCGATAAGATTTAACGCTAGCTCTTATATGTTTTTGTTTTGATAATAAATACACTTAACTGTTTACCAGTCAAAGCATAGTATTTGATAGTGTATTTAGATAATAATTCAGATACAATAGCACACATACTTGTATTAAGAAATACGTTATATCTGACGGTAATTTGATTTAAATACTGAGTGTACAAGCATTTTGAAAAGGACAAACTTTCATTGACAAGACCGACATGAGAAATAAAATTCACAAGAACTCGACTATCGCTCGACTAGGTTTTCCGAGTGAAATTGACATCCCTAGTCTAATCCCCCCCCCCCTCACACACACACACACACACACACACACAAATCTTTCTAGCTTCAAACATCATTCTAGTAAATTTTGATATGGACAGAGATGCATATTAATACTTCACATCTTACAAGTTACGGATAATATCTGATTGTTATTATCATTAGGTTATATAATTTTTCCAAGGTAAAATATTCTAATAAAATAACTTGTACTTTTACATGTATATGGAATGTTTACAGGAGAACTCAGCATTAGAGATAAAATGGAGAAAAACTCGGTCCTTGTTGTTTTTCTTTGATTTTACAGTCTAGGCTGTTTTTTCTATAATGTTTTGGCTGATTTAGGGTCACCTGTGCCACTTTCTAGGCTGTTTTTTCTATAATGTTTTGGCTGATTTAGGGTCACCTCTGCCACTTAGGAGACTATTGCTATCTGTTTGGTTCAACTTGCTCTGACCGTCGATCGTAAACTGTTTAACATTTTTAGCTTCTTGTTTAATATATCATCTATGGTTGAAGGGGAATAGAAATCTGGTCTATGTCTCCCTGGTGTCCAAGGGGTGTTGTAAAAACCATGAATCTTCAAAATTCTTTTTGCTTACTTCTGGACATCGAGCAGTCAGAGCATTTTCATGATTTTTAATAAGCAATGAAGCCCTTTACTAAAATTAAGAAATTCATGGTCGCTTGGATCAGGGTAAAGGCTCCAGGATAGGGTTAAGTTTTTCATACAATGAAAATACATTTCTATCTTAGAAAATCTTATTTACATATAAACATCTAGCAAGAAAATCGTATACATGACATTAAATTCATTAAAGAGTATAGAGAAACAATCGACATAATCGATATGGTCGTGAGTGCCCAGTAGTCGTGCACCATTTTGTTTGTTGTCATACGAGTAAATATGGGTCACGTGCTACGATCGACTGGTTTTTAAAGATTAGAAAAGGAAGCGCTTACACTACTACAAATAGTTAAATATGTGAAGGAAACATTTATAAATTATTGAAACAAACAGACATCGATAAAAGCTGCCATTTTGTTAATACTCTTTTTAGGTCACCTGAATCACTCAGGTGACCTATTGCTATCCCGTTTTCGTCCGTCGGCGTGCGTTGTGCGTTAACATTTGAACATTTTTAGCTTCTTCTCTGAAACCACTTAACCAATTTCAACGAAATTTGGCATATAGCATCCATGGGCAAAGGGGAACAAAACTTGTAAATTTCATGGTCCCTGCCCCACTAGGGCCTGAGGGGTGGGGCTAAAACCACCAAAATTTATGCAATTTGTAAAAATCTTCTTTACTCCTGGACATCAAACAGTCAAACTGATGGCATGATTATAATAAGCATTGAATCCTCTACCAAAATTGTGAAATTCATGGCCCCAGGGTCAGGGGTTCTGGTGCTAGGGTGGGGCTATATAGATCATATAGTGAAAGTGCATTATTCCTTTGAAAAATCTTCTTCTCTGCTCATGGGTATTAAATAAAGTAACTAAGTACATAGTTATGATGAGCAAGAGTGCATCTTCCAAAATTGTGAATTTCATGGTCCCAGAGTCAGGGGTTCTGGTGTTGGGGCGGGGCTTTATTGATTATATAGTGAAAATGCATTAATTCTTTGAAAATCTTTTTCTCTGTTCCTGGGTATTAAATGAAGTAACTAAGTACATAGTTATGATGAGCAAGAGTGCCTTTTCCAAAATTGTGAATTTCATGGCCCCTGGGTCAGGGGTTCTGGTGTTAGGGCGGGGCTTTATTGATTATATTGTAAAATTGCATTAATTATTTGAAAATCTTCTTCTCTACTCCTGGATATTAAATAAACTAAGTACATAGTTCTGATAAGCATGGTTGCCTCTTCCAAAATTGTGAATTTCATGGCCCCTGTTTCAAGGGTTCTGGTGTTAGGATGGGGCTTTATTGATTATATAGGGAAAATGCATAACTTCTTTCAAAATCTTCTCTGCTCCTGGGTATTATTCAAACAAAGGAAGTGCATGGTTATGATAAGGAAGAATGGCTCTTCCAGAATTATGAAATTCATGGCCCCTGGGTCAGGGGTTCTGGTGAAGAGGGGGGGGGGACTCTATTGATTATATAGTGAAAATGCATTATTTCTTTCAAAATATTTTTTCTACTACTGGTTATAAAGCAAAGAAACAAGTGTATAGTTATGATGAGCAAGGTTGCTTTTTCCAGATTTGTGAGTTCATGGCCCCTGGGTCAGGGTTAGGGTAAGGATGGGGCTTTATTTAATAATATAGTGAAAATGCATTTCTTTGAAAATCTTTTAGAAGGTTAATAGGATACGAGAATTATGCAAGAATATTTAGTGTATAATACAGAAAGTACTTTCTCAGTTTTAATGATCAGGTAGACTTGAAAATAATAGATAAATAAAAATGAGACAAAAATAACTTATCTTTGTAAATGTTCTTCAAAGGCCAAGAGAGGCCAATGTGAGAAGTAATAATATGGGGTTAAAAAATGGACATTTTGTTAATAGTCTCCATGGTAATAGTGATAAATGGGGGACAGACAGATACAAGACCAATTATTTTGTTGATGTTAATCATACTATTTTTCTTGCTTTTGGGCAACAAAGCTTCTAAATTGTTGTATTGTACTCAGGAGACCGTTAAGGCCCTTGAGCACTTGTTACAGTTTTTAAATATATACTTTTCCTGCGCGGAAGCGCCACCTATAGACATGACGAGCAAAATCATAAGTGATGATCACTGGGTATTTCATTTTTTTTTACTTTGGTCAAGCATTATAAAATGTGACCTGATAAAAATTGTATATAGTCGTTATACTGAAACACGTAGGAATACATGTATAGAAAGAGTGATGAAAGACTTATTTTAGAAAAACCAATCGAAAACATAATTAAATCAAATAAATTGATCCATGAAGAATAGAATCTTAGTCACCATGAATTTGTTCTAACTCTGTTTTTATTTTTCTTAGCCCATATTTGCTGCTACATCCAAGTGCACGACTACTGGTCCAAAGAAATATGGCCGACGTAAACCTCACTTACTTTGTGCCTCGATAATGAATTTAATAAAGCGCTTTAAAGTATTTTGAATTACAAGTAAATTTGACAATAACACGGTAAGATAAAATATCACATGAAAAACTCACAGTTTTTATTTAATTGTACTTAGCACAGATACTCTCTTAAGAGCACGACTACTGGGCACTCGAGGGTATTAGCTCCTTGAAGGCTTCGAAAAATATTTACGGTCTTTTACAACGCAAAATGTAATAACAACGCAAAATGTAATAAATTGGGATTATAACATTTTGCGTTATTATATTTTGCGCCAAGATCTACGTAGATTTGGGTTTTTTGACAAAAGTCCTTCTCATAAATCTTTGAACTAATGGATTGGAACCCAGCTTAACATCACCTAAAGACAAAAAACTTGACAGTGCTAATTTTGCTGTGTTAATAGCACTATAACCTAAGTTTCTATTTGCTAAAGATTGTAAGAATTCCAGCACTACATTTATAGGGGGTGTAAATGGATCACTTTGGATTCGCTCACAAAATAACAATGTCCAATACTGAATTCTTGTTGACTTCCGCCAGGACGAGGTAATAGTGTCGATAACTTCTGTTGATAAGTTTTTGTCTTGGAGGAGTTTCCTGATAATCGGAAACACCCTAGCCTCATTTTGCTCAGAGGATGAAGACGTGCAAAAACTGTCGGCATAATTAATGTACCTTTCTTCTTTGGAATGATGTAGAACACTGACCTGCCACCAGTTTCAGTAACTTTGGGAACCAGCACTGATTCGAAAACAGGGGTGCTATCAACACTACCTCTGCTTGATCCATTTCTATCTTCTGTAGGACTTGTTGTAGAGTACTGAAAGGAGGAAACAAATACATTAAATGATTACTCCAAGGAATGGAAAAAGCATCTACAGCTATTGCCATTGGATCAGGTAAATATGCAACATATTTTGGTAATTGTTTGTTAATTCTTGATGCAAACAGGTCTATTGCTCTGCTTAAGGAGTACTTCTGACTGATATCTTTGTTGAGCATCCATTCCAAATCATCACTGAGTTTTCTTGAGAGTTTATCAGCTTGCACATTTTGAACACCAGGTACATGTGTAGCACTTATCCAAATGTTTCTAGAAATGCACCATTCCCACATACCTTTACACAAATTGTTCAACTAAAAATGATTCTAGAGTTGAAAAAGCTGCTTTTAGTTCTAAAACATTAATGTGTGATCTCTGCTCAATATAAGACCAATGTCCTCCTGCTTTTCATTTTGTATTGGGAACCAAACCACCCCAACCTAGTTTAGAACTGTCTGTTTGGATAACAATTTGGGGATTAGACAATGGTGGATAACTTTTACACATTTCTGTATTATCAATTTACCAAGTAAGTTCTTTTTTAGCACAACTTGACAAGATGAATTTCCCATCAAAATGTCCGTGGTTTTCTTGAAGATGCTTATTCTTTTCTATTTCTAGAATTTTTATATGTAATGATGCATATGGAATTGCTGGTTAAGCAGCCACAAATTTTCCAATGACTTTGGAAAATTCTTGAATTGAAATTTCATGTTTACGAAGTAATTTTTCACAATCTTGAATTATGTCCTTTGCTTTTTCTGGTGTTAGAGAAATTGTCATTTTTTGAGAATCTAGCAAAAATCCTAGAAATGATATGCTTTGTTTTGGTACCAACACAGACTTCTCTGGGTGAATGGTAAACCCCAAATTGTCCAACATTGAAACAGTTTTCTGGACATTTTCTTGACATTCTTCAAAATTTTCTCCTTGCAAAAATGTGTCATCTATGTAAATCAAACTTGAAAATCCATGTTTGTGTAACACTGAAAAGACAGGTTTCAAAAGCTTGGTAAAGACTCTTGGACTACTTGTTAATCCCATGGACAATGCAGTGAATTCGTAGCACTGACCCTTCCATACAAGGCGTAGGAATTTGCGAAAGTTTTTGTTTACATTAACTAAGTAATATGCATCTTTTAAATCAACTGATGCAAACCAACAGTCTTTTTTCATCATACGTAATGCGGATTGAAAAGTGTCCATTTTAAAATGGTGATATGGGGTATCTTCATTCAGTTCTTTCACATTGAAAATGAGTCTGTGTGAACCATCCTTTTTTGGTCTAAGAAAAATGTTTGAGATAAAGTCATTCTCACATCTATCTACTTTCTGTACCACATTTTTCTTTTCTGGTTTCAAAATTTCTTCATTTACAAGCTGAGT